TCATCCTCTTAACCCCGTCTTGTTGTGAGTGAAAATCAAGCAATATATACATAAGAAGGGAAAAGTGTGTATATATATATATATATATATATATATATATCCTAGTAGGCTATATAGATATCTGGGCATCCGGATAAATATCTATCTGGGCATCCAGATAAATATCTGGGCATCTGGGTAAATATATTTAAGCCCCTCTGAATAAAGTCTTATGTACACAGTATTGTAGTAGTATATATAAATACATTTAAGCCCCTCGGAATAAAGTCTTAAATAAAGTATTGTAAATATGTGTTTTCAATGTATTTTTAAAAGCGTGTGCAACTGAAATCCAAATGGCAGCATCACATCAGTTTCTTCGGAGTTCTGCTGTGGCTTGACCTGGTCTCTTCTTTAGGCCTTGTCCTGCACTATTGAACTCAGTGGAATTTTTAACAAAGATAAAGGCCCTAATTCTGTAAAGCACTCAAGCACGTGCTTAAAATGCTTTGTTTAATCAAGGTCTTAAATGGGAGCAGGCTTAGACTCTTAATTAGTATCTCCACATGTTATCTCCTACAGACACCATTCCCCTAAATCAAGCTTCTGGAGCTATTTTCTCTCTCCTAAAGGACATCTTGCAAATTCAATGTCCTACATGCCTGCTCAGTTATATCCGTGGCATACTGGAATGTTTCTCCTCCCTTGGTGTTCTCACCTCCACTGCTAGAAGAGGGCCTCATCCTCCCTGATTGAACTAACCTCGTTATCCCTAGCCTGATTCTTGCTTGCATATTTATACCTGCCTCTGGAAATTTCCACTACATGCATCCAACGAAGTGGGTATTCACCCACAAAAGCTTATGCTCCAATACATCTGTTAGTCTGTAAGGTGCCACAGGATTCTTTGCCTCTTTCCCCTAAGGCACTATAGGGTAATCCTGACAGGCATTCTAGTCTATATTTTAAAGATGAACCTACTGGGTGAATTCCGCTGACTTGATGGGGCCAGGGAGTTTTGTCACTGACTTCAGTGAAGCCAGGATTTCACCTATGAGGTATGCAGCTCATTTGAAAAAAAAAAAAATACACAAGTCAACCTTCTGCAAACTTTTTTCCACTGCACAGGCAAAGTAGATTGATTGTTATTTTATTTATCATTTACATCAGTATTAATTATTGAAACGCCATCAGGACTAAACATACACACCACGGAGAATGTGAATGCTTTTTAGCTGTTTAGGGTTTGATTCTCATTTATATGAAGGCCCCTTTACACCACTCTGGCAGTGTAAAGGACTGTACAGTCCATGTTAAGGAGCCTTAGTGTGAATGAGAATCAAACCCTAAATAGCTAAAAAGCATTCATTCGTGATTTTTACTGGTTTACAGATTAAGATGATTTTTCAGTCCCCAATATGATCCTCTATGTAAAAAATAATAAGTGCAGAAAAATGTCCTGCCCTTATCTGTGCATCTCAAATTCCCCTTGACTTCACTGGCAGTTGCATGGATGTAGTGAAAGGCAAAATTTGGCCAGGCACTTTTGCTCCCTAACATCAAAACACTTACACTGGTTTTATTTTTAAAATTAGTAAAATAAAATTAAAACTCCTGAGTGGAGACATCTGAGGCCAAGTTTCAGCTTGGAGCCCTTATTATGGCTGAGTTATAATCCCTGGTGCATAAAAAGGATTATACTGGGAAACTGACATCACTTTAAACATAGGAGCTTGAAAATGCCACTGTAATAAATCTTTGCAGCCTTTATTTTTAATTCTAGAAAAAGGTTGATTTAAAATATACTCTCTCCCAGTTACCATCCCAGTTGCTGGCCAAGACTACAGATTTCTGCCAGTATAGGTGTGATCCCGGTCCATCAAAGCTGTGACAGTAAAAGCATCTAGTGTAGACACAGTTATACCAGCAAAACTGCACTTTTGCCAGTATAGTTTGCTTTGCTTGGAGCGGCTAGAATAAGCTATACCAGTAAAAGCACAGTTTGGCCTCTATAGCTGCACCCATACTAGGAGCGGTTTGCCAGTACAGTATACCAGTATAATAATACCAGTCAAATGCTCCTTGTGTAGATATGGCCTCACTTGTTTTCTCCAACAGAAGCAATTATTGTCCAGCAATCTCTTGACAAGCATCCAGGAAGCAGAAATATGATATCCATGATTTGTAAACAAAACTCGTTAGATGGTTGAAATGGTCTCTAGTCTTTGTAATACTTTGGAAATGCTGAGAATAATCAAACAAAATGAAATAGATTGTACTGCTAAGTCTGTAAGATGCCCGTCACAGCTACAGGAAAACTTGTGTTGTTTCACATGAATGGAAAAGATCCTGTGGCCTGGGTATGAATACATGACTCCTGGAAAGTCAGAAATTGGTTCAGTTTCGTTCATATTAAGGGTCAATATGCGCAGTGTTCTGATTTCACAAGATATGAGATATGTTGTCCCACGACTAGCCTGAGCATTCCAATGTGGTTTGTTCCTAATGTGTGTATGTGGTGTGATGGGGCAAGACCAGATGGCTATAGAAAAGTAGTGGGAGATAGATATATTAGCTCCAGGCTAAACAAATCCCTGGTACCAGGTTAAGTGAAATGGCAGCTGCTCCAGGTCAATTAAGACACCTGAGGCCAATTAAGAACTTTCCAGATGGCAGGGAGAATGCTCGGTTGATTGGGACACCTGAAGCCAATCAGGGGCTGGCTGAAACTAGTTAAAAGCCTCCCAGTGAGTCAGGTGGGTGTGCATGTCAGGAGCTGTGGGAGGAAGTTGCGCTGTTGGAGAGGCTGAGTAGTACACACCATATCAGGCACAAGGAAGGAGGCCCTGAGGTAAGAGTGAAGTGGAGCTTGAGGAAGTGAGGGCTGCTGTGGGGGAAGTAGCCCAGGGAATTGTACATGTCATGTTTCTAAAAGGTCAGCTACCATAGCTGATACTATTAGGGTCCCTGGGCTGGAGCCCGGAGTAGAGGGTGGGCCTGGGCTCTCCCCTCCCACATCTTTGTCCCCTGATTAATCACTGAGACTGGGAGACAACAGAGACTGTGCAAGGAAGGATAACTTCCCCTCACCTCCCTTGCTGGCTTATGATGAAAATGGCTCAGTAGACTGTGACCCTTGTCTCTAGAGAAAGAAGGGTTACGTGGAGGGTCACAGTGAGCCTCTGAGGCTAGTGAAATCCGCCAGGAAATGCGGGACCCATGGAGGCAAGGACAGAACTTTGTCACAGTATGGAATTTTAATAAATCTCTTTTTCCCTTTAAAGTTCCAGGGGATTGTAGAAATGTTTATAGAGATTTAAATGATGTAAATAAAAAGCAAAATCTACACCTTGCGATGTCAGACTGTGAGAAACTAGTTTAGAAAGAAAATCATTTTTATTCACATAGAGTTTTTGCTGATCAATTTTTATGAATCGATGATACAGTGATTGTAAACACGCAGTACTGTAAAGGTGGCTACAGCAGTATCTCAATCACACCAATGTCTCTGGGCTGCCCATGTTATTCTAATAGCACCTTTCCAGGCAAATGATGTGAAATCTTAAAGCTCCCGTTTTGTTAGTGAAAATCTCAGCTATAAAATCTTCTGTCTCTTACCCCATATGTAGTATTATAGCCCAGAGCCACTGGAGGCACAAGAAGCTTCAAGGATGGCCCTGGTAACATACCGATCGTCCCAGATATGTAAGAGACAAACATATGTAGCAGCACTGCTGATCCCTGCTTTCTTAGCCAGCATTAATAGTATGGTTTCAAGTCACAGATAATTCGCAGCACTGTGCGTGAACATATGCAAATCAGCAAATAAATCAGGCTGATGAAGCTGTTGCAGCCACCGCAAACCAAAAATAAGTGTCTCTTTTCCCTTTAGGCTAACACTGAAGTAACAGCTGCACTATCCTGATGAGACCCAAGAAGGCTGTTAGTGCACATCACAGTGGTTTCAAGCATAGTGGACTGAATGCAAAACCCCCTTGGCAACTTTGTGGTCTTGCTAATTTTTTTTGTTAGTTTGATCAGCATTGTGCTGTTGCATATGTTTATCCGTGCTGCTCCACACCGGGTTGGTTATTTAGGGAGGGGGGGATTACTTTTCATGTTGTAACTGCTAGACTAAAAATAAATGCTCTGGAGTGGCTTTAAATAGATTCAGAGCATCACAAGCAATTCTGTGACAGGGAAATCTTTGGTACAGTCAAATAAGCTCCTAAAAGTCTGGTGAGACAAAAAGAATGAAAGTGAAGAGAAGATGATTTAGAAAGAGAAAATGTCGCTTTACACAACTGAACTGCATAGCAAAGGTTGTTAAAAGTGACCAGTGACCTCGATTCTTGGGTGCTCAACTTGAGATGCTTTAGAGGGGATTGATTTTCAGAAAGTGTTGAGCACCCACCCTTTGAAAATCAGGTCCCTTTAAAGTGTTTCAAGCTGGGCATCCAAACTCACTAGACAATGTAACAATCTTGGGCCAGATGAATACATTTTTAAAATTGCCCCTTGCTCTTTTCAGAATCTGTATCAAAATATTTCTGGCATGAGTGCAAACTCAGTTTGTCCACCAGGTAAACTGATACTGGTCTGAGCTCCTTTAAGGTCACAGAAGAGAGTGTGACATACCAAGGTGCAATCCAGACCATGAGGGGCTGGGTCACCCTGCCCTGCAACCTTAAAATACCTTGCCGGTAGTGGCTCCCACCTGGGCCACTCACAAACAGCCTTCTGGCATGCAGGTCAGACCCTGAGTGTCTGGGTGTAACTTCAACCTGCCAGCCACGCTTGGGTTACACTCTGGCTTTTACCAGCCTTGGTTACCACTGCAGAGTGAGCCCAACACACTCGTAGTCCTAGATTTCCCGGCCAGAAATATATGTCTTCTACTGCCCAGCCCTCTCCTGGACAGTCCAAATATATTAAGTCCATTATTTCTTTAAGGGAATAATATACTCCCTCTTCCCACCTTAAATGGAGTTACCAGATACTTTAACTTAAAACACACTGGATTAGATAAAAACAAGTTTATTAGCTACAGATTTTAAGTGAGTACAAGCAATGAGGCATAAGAGTCAGAAATGGTTAAAATAAGGATAAAACACTTTCTAGTGTCTAGCTTAACAGCCTATATTAGATTCAAAGCAAAGCTTCTTGCCACATGCTTCCAACAGCATCGCTGACCAAATTCTTCAGGTCAGGAACCCTCACGGCTGCTTCTTTTGTCTTCCCAGGTGCAAAGAGTGAGATGGGCAGGGAGAGAGAGAAGGGGTGCCTTGGGGTGTTTGCCCCTCCTTTTTATAGTATCAGTCCCTCTTTGAAAAGCATTTCCAGCTGAGAACCAAGAGACAGGGGGTCTGGTGGAGGAAGAAGACCTCACATACTGTTCCTTTGCTAAGATGCAGATCTCTTTGTCCCTGCCATGCAGTTCTTTCTTGCCAAAGAATGGCCACTTGATAGGTGATGGCTCATCAGCTTTATTGACAGCTGGCTGGGGCATCAGCTTGCCCTTTGTCTTTGAGAAAGTGGTTTAGCCCCTCCCCAGACTTATCTGGGAAACACACTTCAGTCATGATTTCAACTTATGTTCATAACTTTACACATAATGTTGCTACATACATTTTACTATAATATTACTGATCAGCAAGTTATGAGTTTTCAAATGGTACCTCACAAGGCATGCCTTGTACAAAGATTATTACAGTAGTGTGTAGGGTGTGAATATAGGGATGCATTCCATCATCGAGAGTGCCTCCTTTGATCTGACTAGACACAGGATCCCCATTTTGGCATTTTCAGTCAAAGGCATTTTCTCCTGTAAGTGTATTTCTTACTTTGACTATGTTACATGAACTTGGTTGGATTGTTGGCACCTACAAAATCCAAAAACAGAGTATGAATTACAGAACATTGAAACACTTGCATCTTAATCACTGGTTCTTCTGAAGAGTGACCCACAGCAAAACTGTCCCATACAGAAATCAGTACCCACAATCTAATCTGGTCTGGAGGGAGCACCTCCAAATATGAGAATGCAATTCAGTCATCATCACCCTTTCAAATCCTGAACTCTGTCATGAGATGAGAATCTGACCACTAAGAACTGGAGGGAGTCCACCAAATTATTTCATAGGAAGCAATTCAACTGCAAGGACTCAGCTGTGCCTTTAAGTTGCTAACAGTGAGAAATGAATCCGGAGGGGTGACATAGAACAAAAAAGCTTCATACCCCATGGCCAGTCCCATTAAATGACCCAGGTTACTTGACAGCATTATCTTTGCAAAATAACTTCTCTTACCATGTGATTATTAAACTCTAGGTTTCCTTTTTTTTTTTTTAGAAAAATAATCTTGACACTTGAAAGAAATAGGGGATTAAAAACAATTTTGCTGCATAATTTTTCCTGGTTAAAGTTGCTTGTGGGGTGCTTTGCCCAGTTAATTATTAATTATTATAGATCATTGAGTGAAAAACACTTGAAAAAATCCATTTTACTTTTATATGACATCCTTCGTACAACGTGTCACAAAACACAATATGGGAAGAGGCAGAAAAGTCACAGAACTGGGTACACACTATAGTCACAATGGTGCCTCATAGGCAGAAAGTAAAAATGGTGTCCTGACATGGTGCAAAAAGAAAACACAAATGCAATAGCAGTAACAATTCAAATGTTAGAAGCAGCGGAGATGAATGCTTTCAGGCAAGTTCCAGCGAGCAGAATGGGAGGCTGCAGTAAGAGGAGGAGAGAAAGGTGACTTTAGTGACTATTGCAGGCAAAAGCAAAGAGGAAAGTTTTAAGGTCTGAGGAAGTGACTGTTACTTAAAGAGAGGGAGACAATTCCAAAGCTCAGTTACAAAGCCAACATGCCTCAAAGGGATGATCTTGTCATTCCAGCCCAAATTTAGTCTTTATTTGAAAAAGGTTTCCATAAGTGAATATTATTATTTGTAACTATTATCAGGGTAGGGTCTGAGTTTTCAGCCCAACCCTGAGTCCCAAAAGGTGAAACTGACTATGAGCAGGAAGTGAAACTGACTATAACTGGCCTGCTTGCCCAGTTGCCTCCTGGCTCCTGCCATGCTGCCACCTATGTGGAGGCATTCAAGCTGGAACCACCTCCTTACAAAAGAGAGGGGGCAACTGGCAGGATGTGCTTTGCGATGGCCCTGAGACTCTGGAACTCATTCCCATCTTGGTGCATAATAGCCTGAAGTTGGTGACCTACCAGGCACGCTACCAAAGATATCTGTTCGATTGGGTTTTTGGAGAGGGCTGAGGCTGTGTTTCCCAGAACAATGGAGGAGTTGAAAGAGGTTTTTTTGTAGGTGTCTGACAGGCTAAATTTTTGTTGAAATGGTCATTTTAATTCTGCTGGGGGGTTTATTGCATTATTAATAATGTGTTAGGGCACCAAGAGCCTTGGATAGGTGTCTTCTTTCTTTTAAATCTCAAATAAATACAAACAGGAAGTGAAATGGACTGTAAACAAAATGGTTTAGTTTCACTTTCCAAGTTGAATGAAGTAAAAAAGGTAACCAAAAGTACCAATGGTGAAGACTCAATTAGAATTTTAAAATTCTTTCCATTTTAATGCTCTAAGATACTAGTAATAGGTAGGGGGGGTTTTAATGTACAATTTTGATTTTAATGGCACTTGTACTTAGTAGCTATTTCTTAGCAAGTGTTCATTTTAAGTAGTTATTTTAGTGAATAGTGAAGTTCAGGAGTGTACTCACTGCAAATTTTAAGCATACAGTTGTTTAAAACAGGTACTGTAGAAGCTAATATATCTGGTAAAATAAAGAAAGTTTAAACGGAGGGGAAGTAAAGAGAATGATCTGTATGTATTAGCTCTTTGGGGCAGGAACTATCTTTTCTGAGTTTGTACAGCACCTAGTGAACTGGGATCCTTGTTTATGAATGGGGCACCTACATGATGCTGTGAAAAAACATACTAATAATAGAAAATGTGCATATCAGTTCAGAACCACTTAGGACCAGATTCTGCTACCTTACCCTGGCACATTTTGAGCAGTATCTTATTTGGCAGGGAGTCCTCGTTATTCCAGTGGGACTCTCTTGTGCAATAAGATGCTACTCAGTGTGAATAACAATGGCAGAACTGGGCCCTTAAATGCCTCATTTCTGTACAATGTGAATGCATTTGTTTCCAAATTATAGGGGCATAGGTCCAGCTTGATCTTGATTCCTGCTTACCAATCATGTTTTCAGAAGGTCTGGAAATGATTCCGTAACAATAGCTGTTCTCTTTCCACTTTCACTGTCTCAGTATTCTAATTGTCAGAGGTATTGTTTAATCTGCCATTTATCTCAAAATACTCCCAGCAAAATTTTTTTAAAGACAACTTTGCCTCTTTAAGGACCAAATTGGACCAGAGATGAATCTTGCACCATAACCCCCCATATTCTCTTTCACTGCCCCATTCCTTTCCTTGATGTCTTCTTCGCTGTGTTTAGTCTATAGTTAGATTACAAAATCTTAATGGTAGGAGCACTGATCTCTCGCTGTTCTTTAAGGCAACCATACACTTCAGGGTGCTTGATAATAACTTAAATCGATGGGAATTTGCCATTGATTTAAAAGGAATCCTTAAATTTGTCAATGCTAACTAGGAGCCTGATCCTGTAAGGTGCTGAACACCCACCACACCCATTTGGGCCTGATCCTGCTTTCTCTACAGTCAGCATAGAAATGGTCAGTGGCTTCAAAGGGTGCCAGATCAGGCCCATTGACATCAATGCCAAGCTGTCTGCAGGGCAATAATTCCATTTTGCATCAAACTTCAAGGTTTCCAAATTTGTATTTGTTCCATACTGGAATGAAAACAAGACCTTTTGTATGTTTTTGCAAAAATGGAATTATATTAAAATGTCTATTTTTGATCAAAACCAAAGTTCTTTGATTTGTGAAGGTTTTGTTGGTCCAGGGCTCTCTGATCACCTCAAGGGGAAAAAATAGCCTAGTAGTGACTACATAGCTCCAGCCTGGGATATCAGAGACTCAGGTTCAAGTCACTGCCTGATTCAGGGCAAATGTTTTTCTCCCAGATCCCTCTAAATTAGGCAGAGCTGGGATTTGAAACTGAATCTCCCAGGCCAGGGCCTTAACCACTGGGCTATAGAGTGCAAGAGTTTCTCATCAAAAGTGAGAAGAGCAAAAATGTTCTGACCGGCTTAACTTCAATGAAAGTTGATGGTGTGGCGTATCTAGACAAATCAGGCCCTAGGTGAGAGGCAGCTCACCTCAAACCATGCGGAAGTTCATATCCTGATCTCTGGGGGCACTTCCTGGCTCAGCTACTTCTCTACTGCTAATCGTATTGCTGAATATTTAAACAGAAACCAACAAAATTTTAAAAATTAATCTGTGCCATGTTTTGATTAGGGATTAGAAATGTTAACTGGCCAATGCCTTTTTCTGCAGGGGTATGCAGCCCCTGTACCTTTAATGAGAGTAGCCTGTGGTACTTGCCATAACTCTGATAAGTAATAAATAGCAGCCTTTGTCACATGCAAGTTCAGCATTGTGAAATGGCACACGGATGGCTTTAAAAAGCCTTTGTAGATTTACTGTAGTGCTGGGTTTAATCAAACACAGAGGAAAGAAAAGAAGCTATTTAGTCTGTGCCAGTTCCCGGCATTAAGTATGCAAATTTCTCAGTGTCTTCAGCTCCCAAGAACAGCAGGCGCTGAATGCAGCAGCAGCAGCAAGCGGCACGACATCATTCATTTCAATCATTAAAACAAAAGCGGGATAAATCGCTACCTAATTTGTAAAATATGCTTATCATATAGGCTCTTTGGTCTTTAAGAAAAGCACCAGCTGAATGAGAATCAGTGAATTATTTTGGGGGAAAAAAATGCTTGACTCAATTCTAGGTTTTGTTTTTTTTCCCCTCTCCCAATGTGATTGTTCTTTTCTTTTCTTTTCCTCCTTCTACCCTTTCCCTCCTTGCCGGAGGAGGAGAGCCTGCGTTCTCAATGAAGTCTGCCCTAACATTCCATCAGGCTTCCTGCTCCCAACCTAGTGCAAAGCAGCAATGTCTCTTCCTCATCATCCAGAGCAGCATTCCAAACTCTTCAATAAACAAAAAACCACCAAACAGAAGCTGCTGAAGTTTGCTGTCTGTTTACCTGCATGCTGTGCCTCTCAGTTCCTTTGGAATACTGGGCCTCTTAAAGACGATCAGGTCCAAACGTAGCTATATCATCTGGGCTTCTGCGTTTGCCATCTAATGGGCCCCGCTGCCATCTTTGTGCGGCGAAGAGCAATCTAAATCCTCACTGCGTGACCAAAAAATATATAAAGGCTTGATCCTGCAAATTGCGGAGAACTGTCATCACAATGGTGCACAGCAACATCGCAGAAGGCATTCAGCACTCTTGTGCTGAAGAATGGCATCCTTACAAGGCCTGTTCCTCTTTTACCTGGTACTCAGTTCAGAAGGCAGTGTCGCTTTTATGAACGACAGCAGTGAGAATTATTGGCATATAGGGAGTGTCTTCACTGAATCCTTAAATAGGTTAGCAGTCTACTGAATCTAAACACTTGGTGGTCTAGAAGTAGCTTTTATTTCCAATTAGCCTGCTCTTTCAGCATGCATTAATTTAGCAGGGTTTTATTTTGTTTGTGTATATCTTTGGCATAGGGATAATGAAACTTCTCACCCAGTCTGTTCCTTTAACGTGTCATCCTTTATCTGTCTTCTCTGTCTTTGCTATATGATTTGAGACCAGTCTGATGAGGAAAGCAGGGCCAATAACCCTGCTCTTCTATGAAAGGTGTCCTTCGACGATTTACCAGCTGTTCAACCGTTCAGTTGTTAAAGGATAGTGCCTCCGGCAATACAGCTCCCTACCGTTGTGATGCTGGGGTGTCAGCAGATGGAGCATATCATGATTATTGAAGCTGGATAAAGTGACTGTTAGAAGCATACATTGCCTGGCACGTGCAACTAGATTTCAGGCATCTGGTTGTCTCTTGGTTTGGCCACATTAAAAAATATTATAACAAACTCTTGGTTGGGGAGACCCGCTGGTTGCTGTGTGGATGTTATGGTTTAATGTACACTGTATGGTTCGTGATTTATTAACCATCGGGGGCAGATATGCAAAAATATTAGGTTTTCAACTGCACATGCCAAATGCACACTCAGTCACAGACCTAATTTGCGCACATAGTGGTCATGTTTGCACATGAAAATTGGGTAAGGGCAAATGCATACATGGCTTAGCGATTGCACATGCAATTGAGTGTCTTGATATTTTAAAAATGTGGCCCTCTAGCAGAATTAGAGCTGTGTGAATATTGCAAATAAGCATTCAATACTGTGGGCTTGAATGAAATCCATAAATTTGCTGTGGTGGTGTCCACAACACCTCTTAGTCACTTTTCATGGTCATTATAGGAGCAAAACATAGTTTGCAAGAACATTTACAAAAAGGGAAAGTGCAAATACTTATGCAAATACATATTTGCACAAATATGTTTGTACAGCCGTCTTGAAAGCATTTTGGGGGTTTGAGTGTCACGCATTCAATCAGCAGAAACAATAATGAGTGGAGAATCCGGTCCAAACTATTTAGGTGCAACTTGCTTTGGACAATGAGGTCCCTCACAGGTCCCAACCCTTTCTTTCTTTGTGCCTGTTTCACGGAACCCTGCTGCAGCCAATGCAAAGGACTCTGTGGCACATCTGAGAAGGGACTCCCAATCTCATTGTCCTAGAAGACTGTGGCACTCCAGCTTGAATACCTAGAGAGCTACTTTGTCAGCTGATAAAGTCCCAGAAAGCCACACAAAAGCCATGAGTTGGTGTCTGGATGCTGCACGATGATGCCTGAGTTGTGATGTTGAACCACTGAGACTCAATATCATCTTGTATTGACACCACATAATGTCAGGGTACTGCACTGTAATTATTTGGTGGCTTTCTGCAGGTGCAACAGCGTCTAACCTCTCTTCCCTTCCACTTTGGCTGCTGCTCACCATTGCTATCCCTTGTTCAGGAACAGGGGGGAAGGGAGCTTTCTTTGCTTCCTCAATAACGGTGGCAAATCTTCTCCTCTCTGTCCATTCCCCCCCCCCCAGCCTCTTCCTGGCTGTCTGATGGGTTGAGGAAGAATCCTAGACGCTCCGGTGCATTGTGCAGAGAGATCTCTGAGCTGATAATAATTTGAGTCCTCTAGTGAATCTGCATGTCTCAGTGTCCCATTGTGACCTAGGCTGAGGCACATCGCATGCTCCCCCCTCCACCCCTTTCCTTCTGTTTATGAGAACTCTTGACCCAGTACTCACTGAACAGCCTCTGCCAATACAAACCCCAGTTGGGGGTATCTATTCCTTTGTTCCGTCCTCTGCTCCCTTCTGTGGCAAGCGTACAGGAGTTTTCAGTAAGTGTGGGGAAGAAAAATCACCCACTGAATTTCAGGCCTTGTAACTGGGGCAATCAAATGGCTTTCCAGGATGAGTGTTGGGAGGGGTAGATTTATTTGAACAGACGCTAATAACTATGCCGGTTATTTCTGGAGGATAAGCCTGGCTTCATTCTACTAGTGTCAACATTCATGGTCACGGTTTCAGCCTTCAAAGACTGGGGAAAGAAGTTGAGCTCCAAACCCCATTCTCCTGCAGTAGGAGCAATGCCCTGCCTGTAAATGGGCTTGTAGAAACTTCAGCAGCCCATGCTGTTCCAGCAGTGTTGTTATATAAATATGTTTTATGTATAAATATGTATTTGAATCCCTGTTTGGACTCAAACCTGTCTGTTCATCCAGCTGTCGAGTCACCTCTGCAAACAGCAGGGGACTTTGCGACAGATTGAAACCAAGAAACCCACTGCCTGTCCTGCAAACCATATTTAATTTGTTAAATTAATATAATGTGCTAGAAAAGGAACAGCTCCCAGGAGGAGCGGAACCCTGCATGACCAGTGCAGCTTGCGGTTTGCTGGTAATCCTGCAATGAAAGCTGCAGTACCAGCGTCTCACAGAAAACGGGATTTGCATACTTTGAAATTTGAGGAAAATCTTCAAATACTTTAATTTTGATAGAAACTGTTTCTACCGCTGACATGTGTCTGCACCTATCATTTTAGTTGATAAATTGCTGTAATTTCTCCTCCATTTCATGTTCTTTCTAATATTAATTGTCAGTTGCAGATTAAGACACTATAGAGAGAGAGAGTGAGAGAGTAACGCCATTGTGCTTTTGTGGTGTGAGTAGCCTTTTGAAGAATGATTATCAACCGCACAGATGCAAATAAAAAAAGACCTCTTGGCTTGCACTAAAATGGTGTGGTGGGGTGTATGTAGACCACACTAAGTCAGGCAAGGAAGGGGTTAGCCCCTTGTGAAGGGGAACAGGGGAGAGGACCTGTCCCCACCCTGAGGTAACTCCCAGCCTACCAGATGGAAAGGGAGTATTCCCACCTGAATTCAGAAGGGGCATAAGTTAGAGCAGCCTTGAAGCTGCTCTAACCTATACCAGGCAGCTGAATAGGGCCCTGAATGGCCTCAGAATATGAAGAGCAGAAAGGTGGCTTAAAGCCCTCTTTGATCCCACCCAGTTCCTCCCGAGAGCAGAGACAGGCTAACCACTTGTATTCAACACTCTCAAATTTAGTGTGGATCTGATGTGAATTTAGCAGTCTGGGGCCATCTAAATGCAACAGTCAGCCATCCACCACATTTCCTTGTACAAGCAATTAGCGGGAGCCAACTCACACCCATCTCCTTCATGCCATGTTTCCCTGTGTGCTCACCCCTTTCCCACACACCACTTCTCAAACTACTTTAAAACAAAATACACTTTCAAATAGAGGTCTAGCGACGCTAAATTATTCTATTAATTTATTATTCATGATGAAAAATTATTCTAATAAATGATGAGAAATTATTCTAATAACATTCCATTCTATTAATATGCTGCAGCCGAGCTGTTAAAATCACTTCCTGTGGCTGCTCCCCTCTTTAGTACTGATCTATTTCTAACCGAGTTTATTGAAATTAAAATCTGCTCTTTTGGAAATGTGCTGCACTTAACAAAAATGAGGGGGGGAGGGGAAAATCAGCAAGGACTTAAGAGGGAAAGGACACTGTTTGCCTTGAGCTTTGGAGCTCCCGATTTAGCATGGATGTCACGGGGAGGTGGAGAAGGAATAAGTCCATACACCTACTTCCTGTGATTGCTTCCCTGTCCATGGGAGAGGGACAATCAGGGCAGCTGCTGAACAGACTTAGTTCATCTCCACTATGCATTGTCAGATTTTAGAACTACAGGCTAGATCCTCCCGCACACATGGGGCAGAGGTGTCAAAGATCGAGTTATGCTACCTTTCTGCCCTCCTTCTCCTGATCCTTGGGGCAGCTAGGCATGGTTCAGCCTGGCACAAATTAGAGCAGCCTCAAGACTGCTAATTTACATTGGCTTATGATGGCCCTTAGGGGCTTTTGTGCAGGTGAGAAACCCCAGAGAGGACCATGCTCCAGCCACAACCCCTCTGACCCCAGTTCAACCCCATAAGAGGTGAGGGAGGAGCAGGTGGTGTGAAGCCAGGGATAGGGAAATCCCTACTGTCCATTTAGAGCAATTTTATGTCCCCTTTGTGCAGCCAGAACACAGATCAACGTGTTTCACCTTCCTTAAACTTTTGAATGGGATAATTGATTATTTTAATTTTCACCCGCTACCATTAACCCAGTGTTTTCTTAAGAGAACCACCTTTACTGGCCCAGGCTAGGGGAAGAAAGGGGGCTTATTTGCTAATACACTCCACCCAATAGCCCTCAACCTTCCAGAGATCTGGAAACATTGAAGCTGATTCTCCTCTCACTTACACTGTTGTAAATCAGGAATAACTCCCCCAGAGTCAACAGAGTAACACCAGAGTGACTGAGATTGGAACCAGGTGCATGGAGTCATTGGGGGTAAGGTCAGCCACCCTGAAGTTATGGGCTTGGAATGCAGAGTTTGACCAAAGAGAAGAAAGATGAGGCCTAGAGATCCTACTGTCCACCAAACAGCTGATAGGTCTAGGAAGAGTGAACCATCCCCTCTTAGCATCCTGCAGTCCCTCCTCCTGGCTCAGCCTCTGTTCCTTCTCTGCGGTCTGGCACCACAGGTTTGCCAGGCTCTGGGCCAGGGATATTTTCCTAATGGTTCCTACCCCTGCTCTGCTTGTTCTTCTTGCATGCCAATTGGCTTGTGTGAGCCTCAGCTGGGTGAGAGGTTTCATGGCTATGTAGAGGTTGGGAAGGCTTGGTTACAGGTGGCAAAGCCACTAGATTGGGCCCCACAGGTTCTAATGCACATAGGACACCATGAAACAAAAGTGTCCCTGCACTAGCAAGACCCCCCAGTTGACTTTCGGGACCCCCCAGTGACACGGCTGGGATACGGGATACCGCACCGTGAACTGGTATATCAGGTGTATCCCAGGTATGTCAGGAATGGTGAATCCACACTGACACTCCGTCCACTGGAGGCTTATGAAAATAGCACAGCATACAGCGATCACATGATAGAACAAAGGGAGGCATGGCTCAGGGCAGGTCAACACGACCTCTCCATTCTTTCAAAGCTGGTTCGGGTGCACTATCTGAAGTATCCTTGGGAAAGAGAGTAAATGACAGATAAGTGGGCAGATCTAGGTATTTCTGAGCGAATCTAGCCCATCTCTAAGATGCCATATTTGTGGGCTTTGCTTTAGATGTTGTCCATTCACCTGGTCTTATCGATGGAAAATAACTGCAGTAATAAATGAATAGCATCATCTGAACAGGACATTCACATCGGCTTGTTTGAGGCTTTACTCAAAGAGTGAATATAGTGATTTCCTTCGATTGGATTTAGGTTTCTTTACTGACAATCTCACATTGTTTACTTCATTCATGTTCCCCTCCCTTG